AGGGTTTAGGATTCAGGCTTTAGGCTTGTGTGCGGCGCGAAGAGGAAACAGTCGCAAGAGAGGCCTGTCTCAGGGCGGCTTAAGGTTAAGGAGAAAGCCTGGGATGCTACTGGGCTGCACCAGAGACTTGACGATGAGAATGTGCATGTCGTCCAAGTGGCCGAAGCAGCGGCAGCCACAGGTGGCGGAAGAGCAACCTGTAGCAGGCAGACAACAATGTCCACCAGTGAATGTCTCAAAATGGTTAAGAATTAAGGCTCTACCTGGACAGCCTGGTGATGTTAATAATTGGCTATTACCGAAAGTAGATGATTCTCAAGAGAAGAGCCGCCACCGGTCAAAGTGTGCATTTCTGGGTTTTAAAGGGTTTTAGAGGATTCGGGACAAAGTTGAATTCAAGTAGAATCACTGATGAGTCGTGGGGTGTGTGGTGGTGCTATGGCTCGACATGTGACCTTCAACCCCCCGAAACACATCCAAAATTGTGTTACATCCCGTTTCAAACACATGGACTACTGCAAAGCACAAATCAGAATGCAACATCACACCTCGGAAGCACTGAAACATGACCTTGAAAGCTTTCAAACTCAGCCCTGTTTCGCCTGGCCATGCTCTTCGAGTTCTGCTCAATCAAGGACCGGCTGGGTGGTCTTCACGGGATTCTTTACAGGGCTTATATAGGGTTGAACTATGTAACGTACTATGACCCCTCATTCCCAGCATGCCTTTAGCTTGAGCAAGTAGCGATCTATCGTCTTCTCGTGGAGGCTACGAGACGATACAAACCTTGAAGCTGTACTTATCCTTCCGATAAAATCTTCGTCCACTTGAGTCGCGTAGGATAGTGGGGAGAGCGATTTGGCCCCCCTGGCCCTATCCCACTTCAGGGAAAATATCAACTCTCCAAGCATGTGAAACTTGGTTTGCACCTTCCAGCGGCATAGATCATTGTCGTATGCAGTTTGGGCCAGAGACATGAACGAGGCCACAAACTTGTCCCCAGACGAAATGATGTCGTCGCGCTGCCGCGTTGACAGCCACAAACCAGCATTGTAAAGCAGGTGCATGAACTTGTTGCCATAAGATAGCAGCCCCACGATTTCAGTAAAATACTCGAGAGTGGGGCCAAACAGTTCATGAAGGGTGTGTGTCAGCTTCCACTCCATATACTTGGTAAGCGAGCGGGTGTCATTGCCTTTGAACCATGACCTTACACTTACGAAACCTATTTTAATGAACGAAAGTAACCAAATATACGGAATTAGTCATGATGTTTCTCTACGTTCTATACAAACGAATGTTAAGATGATCATGATGCTCAGCCGAGAAACCCTGTCGGGTAGTCGGTGGTTCGCGTCAACCCCAGTTGGTTGGTTGTCAATTGCGACATATGCAGCTCAAGCCGGTTCTGCTGGCAGAAATGCTTTGCATCATCATAGACGAAGGCCATCAGCATTTTCAGGTTTGTGCAGCCAAACAGCCCATAATCAAAGCAGGACACCTGGAATCCCAGATTGAATGGATCAACAGCAGAAACAGCAACCTTATAGCAACGATCGACGATACAGGCTTATCCAAACGTGCACCCGGTAAAGAAAATGCAGACTAGAAACGATTGCGTTTGCAGCGACGTCTGCAAGGACGCCTTTGTGCATAAGGTGGAACAGATCAATGCGGAAGAAGTAGGGCGCCTGTGACATGCTGTGCGGCACATATCTGATAAGCGCTGGCGGAGGGGACCACGGAGCCGGGGCATCAATTCTCATAGCGGCCATGTTTCGGAAGGACAGGTTGTGCCAGTCCGCGTTTCCGGGCATTCCTGCCTTGCAGTAATGGCAGATCCCGGCACCAGCATCAGATGTCCACGTGACACGAAGATGGTGTCTGCGAAGGTTCCCCAATTTCGTTAATGCTGGCCAATCGCCCTTCATTGCAAGGC